TCTTCGCTCGTCCTGTTTGCCCAGGTTAATTAATAACTAATTAATTGCTTACTAATGACTTCAATGCAAATTTAAATGAAAATTTAATTAGCATTTTTTTAATATCATTTTTTTATTTATTTAATTTATTATATTAATTTAATGTAACCTCACTTTCAATTCAACGGCAGCCACAAATATCGATGCATATATTTTTATATTTAGGTGACTGCAATTGTTTTTTTATTTAAAATTTACGCCAGGAAATCATTATTGTTGGCTCACTTTACTAAGTATATTACTCACATACTAGATAAAAACGATGCCCAGTTTTAAATACTGTATTAGCAATTGAATGTGTCCACAGTGTCTACATGCATATCCTGATCACGCTACTGACAACTACGAGGGTGTGGTGCAGTACACCATCACGGACATCACCCCACACACCACATTGTACGCCGTGGCCTGTCCCATCTCACCATACTGGTATATGTGACATACTAGTGTGTTAAATAAAATATAATGTACTAAAATATGCAGCCAAAGTAAGCAATTTGTAAGATAATATTAAATTACAACTTACGTCTATATTTATTATATTTGGATCTTCAATTGCATTATAACCCTTTCTAACCCTTGAAATGTATATAGTTAATAACGCACATTCCATATCTCACCATACTGGTGGGATGTGTGTCTTGTGTGTAGCGTGTGAATGGATATCCATACAGACGTACAATTGTATTTACCCAGATTGTGGTGCTCGTTCTTACACATGGCTGTATGTATGTAGTGCCTAATAAATGTATGGGTTTAAATCCAACCTGAACATTGATTTTTTAAATAATTTCCTAAAAGGTTTGCTCAAAAATATCAATAATTGCACCATTAATATTTTATAAATACTATCAGAGTGAATTAAATGTTTATACACAGTGTATGCTGATGAAACTTTGATTTACACCTGTTTGTTCATTCGTGGTAAAAGAGAATATTTTCCCTGCCAAAAACATGCAAACAAAATACGTTAAAAAAAACTTGTTCATACGATGTATTCAAATTATCTACTCTTGCGAATCACCATGCATATTATTATAGTCCTATTTCCACTAAAGTAAAAAAAATCAATTTAGTACACAAGCAAATTATATTACGCTAATAATAAACAACTCGTGCCTTACCTGACACTTCACAACTAGCTATTTATTTACTAATATTTATAATAACTACTCTATCATACTTCTGTCTTCATTGGTGCTAATAAAATTAGAATAACTTAAATGTTGGTTATTCTGTCTGATATTGATTTATTTTATTGTTTCATTAGTTTAATATTTAGTTTAATGCTTAGTTTAATGTTTCAGCAATGTTATCGAGAACATAACGATAACAACCATATACGAGAGCGCCCGGGAGCAAATAACGAAGGCTGACCTCAACTGGCGGCTGACGCGGTGGTTCACGAACACGCACGCGGTGCGCTACTTCAACCACAGCGATACGTATTACGGTCTGGAGCCGTAATACTATTAATACTTAATAATTCGTAAGGCAATAACCGGCTGATTTTCAAGCCAAATCCACTAATCACAGACAAGGAACCGGTGGATACGTGTACTTACTACTTGAACTTACTAAGATTAAAATGAGAAATTTCATGATATTGAGAAATTTCAGTAAAAGCTGGTACCTTTGATCTCTTTACAAAGTTTTTTGCATATGCTGTAAATTTTATAATTTTAAATTTTTTTATTTAATGCTGATAATGAAAAATGGGAGTTATTGACAGGTTATTATTCAGACCAATACTATTTCAAACAAGTATTCAGATAAAAAATGCGAAGTAATGTTTAAGTGAAATTTGAAAGTTGAAAACTGAGTGTATTAGATACCCGGAAACAAGATAAAATTGCAGTGGTGCAATTTCATCAGTTTTTTTTACCAATTTCTTTTTTCATCAATTTCAAGATACTCTGCTTTGCCTTGGTGCTTTTTTTTTGTCCATCACTCAAACCAATGGATAAGCAATTTGAAAATTGGAAAAATTTAGAAATACAAAATAGTCATTTATTTTAGCGGAAAAAGATCATTTTTTGAGCAGAATTTAACAGAATTTTTTCAAACAAGAACAAGAAAATTTATGTGATTGGCGACGAAACTGGAAAAAATATTTCATCTCGAAATCATATGAAGGCAATATCATCAAACAATAACATGTCATATACAGGGGCAAAGAACCTGATTAATTAACATATAAATCCATGTGTTGAAGCACAATAACAGCAAATTATTCGCTGACAACTCAGAAGCCTTTTGGCACAGCAACTAAAACACTAAAATAAATTTAATTGACGAATTCAATGACAAAAACAACGAAATAACAATAATTAAAAACGATGAAAGTAACAGTACTTATTGTATCAACAAAAACAGCAGCTTTTCCAGACACCAAAACTGAAGTCAATTTTTACCAGGCACCAAAAAGGGCTCATTGCTCCCGTACAGCTAAAGTTGCTATTTGCGTTAATTATTAAAATCTCTCTCATTTTATAGTATATTTCTCTCAATAATATTAATGAAAAAATACCCTTAATAATATCTATTATATTATATAAAATATCCTCTACATTTTTAGCAGTAATCTTCATATTGGTTTCGAAAATATTTTACAATTAATTTAGTGTAATCTCATTTTATAGCAATGAGAAGCATTATGTAATAATATTTTTATTCAAAATGTTGGTTTATATGTAAATAATTTAATTGTAATCAGGCAAAGTTTTGTTGATCGATTATGAACAATGAAAATAATAATAATATTAATAATAGTAATAATGATAATAATGATAATAATATTGATAGCGGTATCAGCGTTAATTATGCAGTTAGACCAGTCGCCGATTTTAGACATTGCGCAGAACATTCACAGTTTGTTGCGGTCTCGTACACGCAACACACTGCTCCACTTTTGCTGTGGTTAACCGCTTCTTGATTCTGATCAGAATTGTCGAAAGCAGCTGTGATATAATTTAATAATTAAAACTATAAATAAACTTTATATATGTCGGTGTACAATTTAAACCTACAAACGAGCATAAAACTAGATCGGAAAACTTATATACTCCTGAAAACACATGGACAGCAACCTGCGAAAGCATGTTTATGACATCTAAAATCCTCATAAATAAATATCAAAACTGTTTAAAATAATTTAAATAACTATAAATCATTTAAAATACCTATAACAAGATTTTTAATTAACCATCATACCTTCTACCGTATGTATATTGTTGGTGTGCAAACAAGAGAAAAGTTTTTAAGGAAGATTTTGAGGTAATTTGTTGATCAATGCTATATGAAGCTATAAGAATTTATATGTTCTAAGCTATATGAAAATTTGTCCCATGCTATATGAATAAAAATGTGTGTAATATTTTTCTTGCGCTATGTGAGTTCGTAAATGAATTCAAATGTCTACAGTTCCATTGGACACTGTGGTTTATCGTGCTTATTTATATAAGCCATTATAATTAAATTGAAAATTAAAGTAAATAATCACAAAAAAAGTTAAAGGATAATTTGCTATTATAATAATATTATACATATAAATAAATAAAAATCTAAACCAACTATCCATCACCACCATAAGGTCATACTTGCAGAATTTCAGAAATAAAATAAGAGTTCGTTCCTCCCTCAGCCAATCACTGACGCTTTACGAACTAAACAAACAAATCACAAAGGAGAAATCGGCCTCTATGTGAATTTAGATCTCTACGTGAAGGCTAACAGTAGGAGAAACTCATGAAAACACAGTAGGGATTTTGAAACATTATTATTAACATGTCAAATATGCAGAAATGAAATTATTATGGAAGTAAGTCAATGAGCATTATCGTATAATGTCCGCGGTCGTCGCTCGAGCTTCATGATTGCTTTTGGAAACTTGTTATAGCTGCACAATAATGAGTATCACTATAAGCAGTATTAAGTATCACCACCAGCCGTAGTATCATTATAATCAGTATCCACGCAAGCCAGTAGGTATCACCACTAGCCGTTATAGTTATCACCACTAGCCGTTGTAAGTATCACCACTAGCCGTAGTACATATCAACACAAGCCGTTATAGATATCACCACTAGCCGTTGTAGGTATCACCACTAGCCGTTATAGATATCACCACTAGCCGTTGTAGGTATCACCACTAGCCGTTGTAGATATCACCACTAGCCGTTGTAGGTATCACCACTAGCCGTTGTAGGTATCACCACTAGCCGTTGTAGGTATCACCACTAGCCGTTGTAGGTATCACCACTAGCCGTTGTAGGTATCACCACTAGCCGTTGTAGGTATCACCACTAGCCGTTGTAGGTATCACCACTAGCCGTTGTAGGTATCACCACTAGCCGTTGTAGGTATCACCACTAGCCGTTGTAGGTATCACCACTAGCCGTTGTAGGTATCACCACTAGCCGTTGTAGGTATCACCACTAGCCGTTGTAGGTATCACCACTAGCCGTTGTAGGTATCACCACTAGCCGTTGTAGGTATCACCACTAGCCGTTGTAGGTATCACCACTAGCCGTTGTAGGTATCACCACNACTTTGGAACGAAGAAGTAAACAGCACCGTTATAGTAGCAGCAGTATCCACAAGCACTTCGTTGAAGACCATAACAGCCCTGTTCCCAACAACATATCCGACTGTTTCTCTATAATTCATTCTTTTTCTGAAGTATTAGACCTTAGAATAGCTGAGGCAATAGCTATTAGACAAAATAATCCGTTCATCAATGTAAAATACCAAGAGATGTCAAATTTCCTCAATTTGTATAGATAAAATCTGATCTGATAACTTCTGTATTCTTATCTGAATTTCTGTTCTTTCCAGATTATCATCTTATTTACTCTGATGATGGCTAAAGTGTAGATAGCCGAAACGTTAGAATATATGGATTTTTATTTCAGAACTGCGATCGTGTCTTTTTTATCCAGAATCATTATTCGACGCCTAAGTGTAATTGAAAAGGAAGTTTTTAGAAAACTTGAAAAACTGTTGAAACGTTATAGGTATCATCACTAGCCGTTGTAGGTATCACCCCTAGCCGTAGTATCACCACTAGCCGTAGTAAGTATCTCCACAAGCCGTAGTAAGTAATATATCACCACCAGCCGTAGTAAGTATCACCGTAATGAGTATCACAATAAGCCGTAGTAAGTATCGCTATGTCTGGAGTATCGCACGTCTTGCGTGGCGTTGAGCCACCGCATGTATCGCCATGTATCGTCCCACTGCGCCAGCTGGACCTCCACGTCAGGACTTGGGACCATCATCGTCATCTGATACACCACGTCACTGGTGCGGGGACAATTCAATTAATATTAAATTTCACAAAGAATTTAGAAACAAAGAAAACACCATGCAAATTCATAATATAGATATTGAAATTGAATCAATATCAAAATGGTGAATTTGCTTGGTGTTTTCTTTGCTTTTAGATTCCTTGTGAGCTTTCGATATAAGCAGACTGATAATATAAGTTATATTAAATTTCAAATGTGATTTCAAGTTTAAATTTAATATTTTATTTGGAAAGATTTCACTTTTATATTAAATGCAAGCATTACATTGTAAATATTTCTTAAATGAGATGGCATTGAGTATCTAAGGGAAGAATTTTCAAAAAATTATCTTATGGATCCACAAATTTTGACACTAACCTTAATTTTTACAACGCTTTTCTTGAACTTCACTTCTCGTTCTTTGTGTGCTACAAATCTTATAATCGATATTTAACACACGCTTACCTGTCCAATCGATCTGTTTTGCACACTTGCGTAAAGTCGGAGACAATGCATAAATCAATTCACAGAATAAATAATTTTGAACGTGTAATTTTTTTATATCAAACAAATTAGAAATTCCTTTTTTATATATGAAAATAAAATTAGAAATTCATTGTACATGTGTAACATCGGAGCCACTGGATTCTTTAGAAGCGTTGTCTTTAAAAAGTAATTTTTAAGCGCATATTATTAATTTTAAAAAATAATACCACTAAGGAGGAATTATTTTAAACCTTGAATAAATTTATTTGATGAATCAAATTATGGTAATAAGAGATAATATGGTAAGATAATATATATTACCTCTAAGTCTAGAAGTCTACCGCAACCTTTATTAATACCGAGTACATATACTACTTACTTTTAATGAATGAAGTAGGACTACGTTCACATGAATTGAGTACTTTGTTTCAGTATTAAGTACTGAATAGGCAAAGATAGATACAGGGTGTCCAAAAAAAACGATACCCAACTTTGAATGGCTGTAACTCGAAAAGTAATAGAGTTGAAAAAATTTGGAAGGTCAAGATTTGTTCCCTTATGTTTTTCTGCATCTCTCCACCAAAAATCAGACAGATCGATGTAGCCATAAGCGTTTGATAGAACTTTCTGTGACATGTGCTAAAATCGCGCTTGCGCGAAGTTATAGTAAGATCATTTTGCATAATCATTACGTTGTCTTGACATGTTTTCTTTTCGCTATTTTATTTTTTGTATCTTTGGTGAGACAAAAACATGGCAATCTTTGGTGAAAGACAATCATGACAATCTTTGTGAGAGACAATCATGACAATCTTTGGTGAGACACAATCATGACAATCTTTGGTGAGACACAATCATGGCAATCTTTGGTGAGAGGCAATCATTACAATCTTTGGTGAGACACAATCATGACAATCTTTGGTGAGACACAATCATGGCAATCTTTGGTGAGAGGCAATCATAACAATCTTTGGTGAGAGACAATCACGGCAATCTTTGGTGAGACACGATCATGACAATCTTTGGTGAGAGGCAATATTTGGTTTTGATATTTCCTCTCACCAAAGGTTGCCATGATTGTCTCTCACCAAAGATTGCAATGTTTTTGTCTCACCAAAGATTGCCATGATTGTCTCTCACCAAAGATTGTCATGATTGTCTCTCACCAAAGATTGCCATGTTTTTGTCTCACCAAAGATTGCCATGATTGTCTCTCACCAAAGATTGTCATGATTGCCTCTCACCAAAGATTGTCATGATTATCTCTTACCGAAGATTGCCATGATTGTGTCTCACCAAAGATTGCCATGATTGTCTCTCACCAAAGATTGCCATGTTTTTGTTTCACCAAAGATTGCCATGATTGTCTCTCACCAAAGATTGCCATGATTGTCTATCACCAAAGATTGCCATGATTGTGTCTCACCAAAGATTGTCGTGATTGTCTCTCACAAAGATTGTCATGATTGTCTCTCACCAAAGATTGCCGTGTTTTTGTCTCACCATAGATACAAAAAATAAAACAGCGAAAAGAAAACATGTCAAGACAGCGTAATGATTATGCAAAATGATCTTACTAAAACTTCGTGCAAGCACGATTTTAGCACATGTCACAGAAAGTTCTATCAAACGCTTATGACTACATCAATCGGTCTGATTTTTGGTGGAGAGATGCAGAAAAACATAGGGAACAAATCCTGACCTTCCAAAATTTTTTAACTCTATTACTTTTCGAGTTACAGCCATTCAAAGTTGAGTATTGTTTATTTTGGGACACCCTGTATATATATTTATAAATATGGGCCACTGTGTGGCAAAATATGCGTACCAGTAAGGGGAGAGGGGTGTGCCACGGCATACAGCACAGTGGTACGTACCAGTAGGGGGAGAGCGGGCATGCCACTGCATACAGCACAGTAGGGGGCGTGATGCCAGTAAGTGTATACTGGAAGACTCCGTTGTAGTTATCCCGCGCGTGCTGGGGAAAAGCGTGCAGACACTGGCGGGGAAAAGTACACGTTATTTCAGTATGGAAATGATCGTAATCTGAACGATTAATGTAGACTCCTTGATGATTGTAAGATTTCCGATGATCGTAAGAATTCTAATTATCGTAAGCTGCACGATTAGCGTAGACTCCCTGATTATCGTAAGATTCCCGATGGTTGTAAGAATTCTAATGATCGTAAACTGTACGATTAACGTAGACTCCGTGATTGTCGTAAGATTCCCAATGGTCATAAGAATTCTAATGACCGTATTATAAGCTGTACGATTAACGTAGACTCCGCGATTATCGTAAGATTCCCGATGGTCGTAAGAAACTGTACGATTAAAGTAAACTCCCTGATAATCGTAATCTCCATGATTGTAATAAGCTCAGGTTGCACATCCAGAAAGGATTGAACCGCATTCTGAGTTGATGCAAGCACGGTTAATGGACTAATTTTATTTACATTTTACACACATCGTTAGAGAAAAAATGTTCATGCTACTCGCAGAGCAAGCTTCAACACATTTCTTCATATTTTGCTCGCAAAATTTTTTTACAAAATTTTCTTTATTAGAGCTTTTGACACCGACGTGCTAGAGAAATACGATCGTGCGTAACTTTAAATGGGGAAAATGTTAATCGCATTTAATTAAAATTGAATTAAAGTGTATAGGAAAACGATTGTTTATGGTAGGCATAAAGAAAGGTTGTAAGCATTGGTTATTTGAGCATCGCAATTAAACGGTTGTTGTAATGAATTATACATTAAAGCAACACCGTTATTAAAGACCACGAGATCATCATATATCGATTAGAAATTTTATTATAGTTAACTTAAAATGAAGAGTGCATCTACAGAAGAGTGCATCTTAAAATGAAGAGTGCATCTTACCGATAACTAAATAATGCTTGCTTCAATGCGATAAATTCATATGTTGATAGACCATTCATTATGTAGTTAATTATGTAGTGTCATCGATATGCCACGTAGAACTATATATATGTTCAATTTCGGAGCTGAAATATAGAAATTTTTATCCTGATATAAAAATTGTAGATAGTATATGATTAATGACAGTGTAATTAATAATCTAATCAACGCAGGAAATTTGTCCTGTTTTCAATTGTACTGCTACATTTTTTTTATGTTCGTTTGACAAACTGATAATATGTACGTAGGAAATGTGTTTAAGGTGTGACTGGGGATAATGAGAAAAAATACAACTCAGTACTCACTGCAGTGAGTGACAGAGAGCGCATTTTCTCGTCGACGAAAATTTGAGGTCACGGACGGACGGACAGACAGACAGATGGACATGGCGAGCACAAATAGTGCATTTTTTCCATAAATGAGTAAATGCGCTAAAAATAAAGGCATGAGAGCGGTAGATACAGGTGAAAAGACACGAGAGAAAATAAGCGAACGGCGTATAATTCGGTGACTGATATACGATTGTGCTGAATTTTTATCAGTTGAAAATATATAACTCAATACTCACTGCAGTGAGTGACAGAGAGCGCATTTTCTCGTCGACGAAAACGCGAAGTCACGGACGGACTGACAGGCGGACAGACAGACGGACATGGCAAGCACGATAGAGCATTTTTTTCCATAAATGTGAAAATGCGCTAAAAAGAGGAAAGGTGCATCAAGGCTTTATCGGGACTAGTATTATAGTGATTAGTAGCGGGATTTTCATGGAATTTTCATATCTTATATTCATACCATTATATAGATCTCTACATACCAGTGTAGGCTGGCAGAATTTCTTCTTGTAAGCAAGTTTTGTTAAAGACCATATACCATATATCTCTACATAAATATACTGACACTGACCCGAGCTAAGGAGGCGAGGGAGGAGTTTTCGTCAGTGTAGGAGTGCGCCACTACGCCTATCAGGACTGGGCCCGGCCGCTGCGCGCATGTATCACACATAAGTAAGCTAAATTAAATACATTTTTAAATTTATTTAATAATATTATTTTAATAATAATGAATTAAATTAAATTCTTAAATAATGAGGTACATGGCCAAATATTCGTTACGTTACCTACTATACTAGTAATGTGTAGTGATACACTAATTAGTATAGGTTGGCAGAATTTTTTCTTTCAAGCAGGTTTCATTGAAGACCAGAGAATTTGTTTTATTCGCAATTTTCTTATTAGTTTTTTCAATATATCGAACAATATTTTTAGT